CTAACCATCCTCGGACTCTGATGACCTTGTGGCGTGACCTAGGTTGCGCTGGCCTCAAGAAGTCGACCGGAAACTGAATTCACCCAAAGCTCAAAAGGTAAACATATGTCTAAAGTTCCCAGGTTTGGGGATGAATGCTGATAAGGCTGGGTCTGTTTATAAGGAAAGCACGTAAAAATGAAACAGAAATGTACGTAGATATGCAAACAGCACAAGCACACGCACGTGCCATAAACTGGAATACATTTCTTTTATCATTCATCTATCTATTTTTTTTCTTACACTACTCTTAGACTTGACTGCCTTGAGACTATCCGAAGTATGGGTGGTTTGACTTGCAAACTTCAACGGCGAATTGCAACAGGATATGTGGTGATCAGCATGCAATCAGAGGCAGCTTCCTGATGGCGATTATTGATTTCCCAATACGCTCCGCAAGTGTGCAAAAGGTGTTAGTTTCTCTCTCTCCCTCTCTCTCTCTCTCTCTCTCTCGCGCGCGCGCGCGCGCGTTTTTGTATGTATGAAAGCATATATTCATGCATGTATGTATGTAAACACATATGGATGCATAAATGTATGTGTGTGTGTGTGTTCCCAATGAGTGCACAGTCCCCGCCCCACTCACAGAGCACCTCGCAGCCGCCGACCCCCCCCCCCCGCCCACCGCCAGCCATCCCTGACAGAAAACCGTTCCCACTGGTAAACCTTAACACCGTCCGGATCTTAAGAAAATCAATAGACGACCTCGGTTACCGGACCTGATCCTTGGTACCGTCTTCCCCTCACGCTTTGCGAAGAGGGGAGAGGGGAGAGGAGACGGGAGAGGACGAGAGAGGGTGCAACAACAGAGCGCTGGCGTGATACAGTCGTCCCGGGCGAGGCGAAGGCGAAGGTGGAAGGTTAGGGGGACGCCGACGGGAGGACGTAAGACGCAAAAGGTGAGAAGGGGATATAAAATAGTAATGGCACTGCATGCAAATACAGCTGATAATGTTGAATAACCGAGAAAAGTAAAAATGGAGCAGACCAGATGATCACCTGAGAAGACACGAAAGAAGGAAATTAAGAGATTTTATATTCTGCTCTTATGTTCTCTAAGACAGTTGATGAACTGTTTGTCATTTCCCATGTGGAGCAGAAATAGATTTACAATAATGTAGGGAGGGGAGGAAATGAGAGCGAGAGAGAGAATAAACAGATATGAATTTATAAAGGCGATAAAGGCAATACTGCTGCAGACTTTATTGCCCGTAGACAAAAACGAATATATTTGCGAATAATCCCTTATGCATAATGGCCAGTCTGTAGGCACATACATACAGCTAAACCAGGACACAAATGTTTCAACGATCATTTCCAATAAATACGAAGGAGGAATTTATATACAGCACGCCTGTCCATGGAACTGCACCTTCCCCGTGCACGAATAACTGCTGCAACAAGCGGGGAAAACTGACTGTATTCATGACCAGGGCGAACCCGCCGCGTTCTCGCTCTTGCTGTTCCTCGCTCTGACTTCTTTCGGGCTACTCTCTCCCTCTCTCTATGTGCATATATCACCCCCTCCCTCCCTTTCTCTCTCTCTCTCTCTCTCTTCTCTCTCTCTCTCTCTCTCTCTCTCTCTCTCTCTCTCTCTCTCTCTCTCTCTCTCTCTCTCTCTCTCTCTCTCTCGCCATTCTCTTTTTCTCTTTCTCTCTGTACCCCTCTCTCTTTCTTTTCTTTCCTCCCTCTCTCTTTATATATATATATATATATATATATATATATATTATATATATATATATATATATATAATCTTATATATATATCTATCTTTAAATCTTTAATCTCTCTCTCTTTCCCCCCCCTCCCTCCCTCTCTCTTTCTCTCTCTCTCTCTCTGACACACAAGCACACACGCACGTACGCACGCACGCACGCACGCACACACACACACACACACACACACACACACACACACACACACACACACACACACACACACACACACACACCACACACATAATATATATATATATATATATATAATATATATATAATATATATATATATATATATATATTAATATATGTGTGTGGTGTGTGTGTGTGTGTGTGTGTGTGTTGTGTGTGTGGTGTATGTATGTGTTCGTGGGCGGGCGTGTGTGTGTGTGTGTGTGTGTGTGTGTGTGTGTGTGTGTGTGTGTGTGT